AATAGCTACTTCCCAGTCAACGCGAGTCTCACATCGAGGTCTAACCGGTGTTTTACAGAACTAGAGACGATCTGCATATTTCGGACGAAATTCAAAAGGTGATACCCACCGTCCACCTGCCACCGCTCCGCGCTCAGCGGGCGAGGCGAGGATTGCAGTGCGTTCAGGTCCGTCACTGTATAAGAAATCAGCTGGTGCGCACCCTCGCGTTATAGTATCATTAAAATTTTTTCCTTGTTTAATAATCACTTTAAAATATATATGTTTATGTGTTTTATATATATATACTACTGTGATTAAAAAATAAGGTGAATTTTTCATTTAAACTTCGCGGGAATTATAAAATCATGAAATTATTTTTTTGTGGGTTGGTAGCACTGTCTTTGACCTCTATGCAGAGTTTCAATATATTCAATTGTTGCAGAGCTATACATGTTTTTGTAAACATACAAAAGTGAGTTTTTCGATTTTTACTATATGTCTGATTTTGTTGAGCAAAGAATTTGCATTAAATTTTGTTTGCGGAATGAATATTCTGCCGCGGAAACATTGAGGATGTTGCAGAAGGCCTTTGGTGATAAGGCTATGTCGCAAAAAAATGTTTACAAGTGGTACAAAGACTTCAAAGAAGGCCGAGAACGAGTTCAAGACGAACAGCACCCCGGATGACCATCAACATCTACCGATGAAAGCCACGTCAAGGAAATCAAACTGTTAACAAGGAATATTATTTGAGTGTTATGCGTCGTTTGCGTAAAGCTATTCGCCTCAAGAGGCCAGAATTATGGGCAGACAATTCTTGGTTTTTGCACCACGATAATGCACCGTCCTACACTGCATTGGTTTTTCGAGAACATTTCGCCAAAAATTCGACCCATATCGTTCCACAACCACCGTATTCGCCTGATTTAGCACCGTGCGACTTCTGGCTGTTCAACAAACTCAAAAGACCGCTTCGGGGACACCGTTTCGACTCGATTGAGGAGATAAAAGCCGAATCGAAGAAAGTATTGAAGGCCATCCCGGAAAAAGACTTCTCTGACTGTTTCGAGGATTGGAAAAAACGTTGGAATAAGTGCATTGTGTCGGACGGGAAGTACTTTGAAGGCGATGAAATTGATTTGGAAGAATAAATAAAGATTTTTCATTTTATAAACAAATTCACCTTATTTTTTTATCACAGTAGTATATATATAAATAACGCATAAATATATATATTTTAAAGTGATTGTTGAACGAGGGAAAAGTTTTAATGATAATATGACGCGAGAAAGCGGTCCAGCTGATTTCTTACATAGCGACGGACCTGAATGCACCGCGATCGTCGGCATCGTCTCGGCCACTAACCGCGAAGCGGCGGCAGGGGAACGGTGGGTGTTACTTCTTGAATTTCGCTCAAAATGTGCAGATTGCCTCCAGCTCTGCTTTACGTGGAAGGTTAACTGGTTTATTTTAAGATAAACCTGCACCAATTAACTTGGCATGTTGATTCTGGAGCAAGGAGAAAAACTTGTATGAAACTTGAATGATATTATAAATTTGATAATAGCCATTCGTAGAGAAATTTACAACCAATGTCGAAATATAACAAATAATGTTACGATTATAAAAATTATGAACGTCTATGATTGCGAAATGTTGCATAATTATCATATAACCTTGAAGATGAAATTTCGATACTTTAATGTTGACAATATTAAATGTATAGATCGATGGAAACATATTTAAAAAATTTACATCAATGCTTTCGATAAAACCGATATCGCGCATCTCAACATATCTGTATAATTTTATTCCCCTTTATATGTGTTCAACTCAAGTCAAATTCAAAGCACACTCGCGGCATAAAAGAGTAGAGTGAGTCAAGTTGAACAAAAGATTCTTTTAGTATTTTTCAAACAATCGGGTGAAATTTTGAGATATTAATGAAAGTGGATAGACTAATCAACACGCATAATGCTATGAAACGAGCTCTGCAGCTATGACCTCATTGAAAATTGTTTCGTCTTGTTGATTGTTTATTGGCAATACTTAATAAATATCATTTGACAATAAGAGAGGGAATAGGAAGGCAGCGCGTAGAGCATGACCGCGTACTTACACTTGATCGTAACTGACATTGAAAATGTACAGCATGAACGAATAAAATATTTATATAGCAAATACGATGATTTATCGACGAAAGAATTACCATTTTTAAGAAAATACAATGTCGTCATCGCTTGATGCATAAAGTGGTTTGCCCATAAGAAAAAATTCGGAGTCGACGAATGAGTAGTGACACAGGAATTAAGGAGAAAAGTATATCATGCAGTTTAACTATTTATTTAATCTGCAATTTAAAGACGAGAACACACAATAGCGAAAATATTTATATCCTCATTTCTCCACTTCAAACGATATTGCCGGTATATCATGTATGTATTTGTATATATGTATATTAGGGTTGTAACGAATATTCACTTTCGCATTATTTTAGAGTCTCGCTTTCGCTTTCGCTATCGCGACTTATGCGAAAGTTTTGACGAAAGATTTTGTCCAGGGGATTCACAGCTTTGCTGGGGACACACTGGACGGCGGAGGAGTGCAGTTTATGTTTCATTCATTGATTTTCCGGTTTAGAGACATTTTAGACTTTAGAGCTTAAATTTATTGAAAACAAATGAGTGTAAGTAAACTTCTGTGTGTATAAATTATAATAATGAAATAACTAAGTGTGATATGTGATAAGTGATAACAATAACAATGTAACCAAAATCTAATTTTACTTGGTATTTTTATGATGAAGTGGAAATAGAATTTAAGATGTCGTAGTATAAACCCAAGGAGAACAAAAAGTCACGATAACATCAAAAAGATGTCATTTTGACTTTAAATAGTCAATTTTTCATCAAGACTCTATGTAGTAATGTCAAGATGATGTCATTGTGACGTCATAGATATATTGAATATCGATACATTGAAGGCATCGAGATCGATACTTTGGTGTTGATTGATTATTGCAAAACAGCACATTGTTTTACTACCGCGTGAACCTCTGCCGTGCAGAAAGTCTTGTTCGCCTCCGCGGCGGTTGGATGTGGTTCCCGTAACTACGCATATTTTTGATCTTGGGGACTATAATATAATAACTCTGCTCAGTGTCATATATTGAATGAATGAATGAATTCTGCCTCGTGGGAAATGTTGCCGCGTATTGTGTGCCAGATCCATTAATATCGAAAAAGTTCCACAAGAGAAGAATTCATACAAGAAAACGGATTTTCCGCATTTTCATCACTGTTTATGTTGCGGAAGTGATATCATCACTATTTATGTTTCGACGTAATTCGACTGTGCTTGAAAATAGGAAGAAACTGACTCCATTGAAGATATTTATAATTATTTTCACACGAATATTACAAGTTTTTGAGTTAGAAGGCCATGATCAACATTCATATAGGAATGGTTCATCTGTTTATTCAGAAGTGGAGGATGATCGAAACAACTTTTGTTGTTCCAGTGATAATGAATTAATGTAAAAGCTGCGGATCTACTAACAGTAAATCTTATATTTTTTATCTTCTATATCCTTTCTATCCTTCTTTATATCCTTAAAATAATAAGAATTGTTTTCATTGGCAACTGACAATTTTTATGATGACTTTTTATATTATGGACACATTTCATTTCAAAACTGTTATTTGATTTATATGATTTTTTGATAGATAAACTTCAAGAGCAAGTAATTCTAAATTATATACAAGAACTGTCAGCGAAGATAGATTGGCAGAACATTGGGATTTCTCAAGTTTTACACCAGTTGTTTTCCGATATCGATTGTTTTAACTGACCTGAAGGGTTCCCCTCCTTGCCACTGGAAACTGGGGAATCTTTTGCAGGCTTTGATTGTTATTTAGATAATAAAGTATTATATGGTCATATAGTGAGTTCTCTATCACCATTCATAATGCAAGTACTATTATATGTTCATTGAGTACTTTGATTGGCTCTTTCTATGTTGCAACTTAAATATTTGTTACGAAAGGGGAGAGGAGAGACAACCTCTCTCTTCACTTACTCTATTTTGTCGACTCTAATCAGAAATAATCTGGCACGGCTCATTAGTTGGAAGGGTTCTGGAGGGGTCAAGCTCAGTTTTGAGAAATCCAAAGTCAAAAATGTAGTAGAAGGTAAATGAATAGTATATTACTTTTTAAAAAGTTATTTTCTAATTTTTTAACTTTGCTTTTTTCATATATAAGCATGTACATAAATGTGCACATAATATATATATATTAAACCTCTTCTTTATTTTCTTCAAATAGGTGTTTGCTTGAAGAAGTTTCCTAATGTACAGATTTCGATATTTGAAGATCATATGAAACGATGGTTCAATACTTCCATGCACCGATCAGACTAAATTAAGTTCTTTTTTAGGATCTGTTTACATTTTTATAGTGCAAAATATTTGTAAGTTAAACTGGCTGTGTCTATGTTTCAGATTTTCTTTAATTCTTTAATTCTCCCAAAGTTTAATTAATAAATAATATTTATAGTTATTAGATTTTGAAAACTATATTTAAGTTTTTTTCTTTGTTTTTGGAAAAAGTGATACAGTTCTTTCAGATTTTATTTAATATTAATATAGTTTACTAATATAGTTTATAATTTCTTCTTTAAGAAATAATGTATATTACATATACTATGTATTACGAACGCACTATAATAAAAAATAATTGTAATTATCTCTGTCATTGTTATCTTATCACTAATTATAAATTATTGATACTACTTTTGCGCAATTTGCATTGAATACAAAACGGTATATATTCGTCACAATGATGTCAAAATGACATAAAAATGACGTCCAATTATAGTCATTTTTATTCCCGGTTTGATGTCATAGTGACTTCTGCTGTTTTTTTAATGTTTTTTTGACGTTATTTTGATATTATCGTGACTTTTTGTTCTCCTTGGGAAGACGACTTAAGTTTTATGTCTCGATTTTGGACATTGTGTTGTCTGGGAAGTTACTAATTTATTCATTGGCAGTCATCATTCAGTAGAAAGAAACAAGATCTTTCGCTTTCGCATTTACATTTGCTTTCGTTTTCATAAAAAACTTTTTTTTCTTCCGCTTTCGCATTCGCTTCGTTATAAGCACTTTTGTTACAACTCTAATGTATATATATTTGAACATACATATACAATTATCACTTTTTAAACTTTTGTGTCTGATATTATCTCGTCCATATGTCACGTCCATTCGTCTCACGTTATTGCGAGTTCGATGATGCTGGTTACATATTTTGTGCATCGGATAACTGACGTTCGTTTACACGATTAAGCAATTTCTTAAGAAGCCGATACTTCAACTCATTGACGTAGGTAAATTCAACGTTTGAATCTTTATAAACTTTATAAAGGCAACGATCGACAACCCCGTATTTGGCAGAGGCGACTCCACGAAGGTACCAAACTCCTTCCTCCTCGATATATAGACCGCTACCTCCATCTTCATTGCAGATGCCTGAATCTGATAATCGTTCGATTATATTCATCACATTTATATCGACTGAATACTAAGGAATTGAAAACACGCGTTTTCCTCGACTTTATAACAATGAAACGTAAGCGCACACCATCAATGGTGATAGCTATCTTTTCATAATCTTGTTATATTATTACCTCATTACCCATTGCCAACTCACAATTATCTCGTATGAACCTTGTAAAAGTTTAAACGAGACATAACAAACACGAACGAATCTACCGCAATCATTTGCGCAGATAGACACTCACCGTTCAAACGGCCTGCACAGAACGTATCCTGCGCGACCAATTCGCGAGGATCTAAATTTTTTATACCGATGCATTCGTCGTGCTCGATGTACTGCATGTCCATTTCGTACATAGTCTGGTTATGTTGGTCGTTGGTGTTTTCATTCCATGCGACCATCTGAAATTATGACTATGAATGCATATATTTGTCCCTTCTTTACATTTCTATTTCTCCCTATCTATTTTTCTCCCTTTTGACGACGACAAGTTAGGACTTTCATCGCGTATTTCGCGAAAAGTAGGTAATCGATGTATTTAAATACAAATATGTCCTTATGATTTATGAGCATGGACGTGTAAATAAAGTAGACACGTGACACGATTAGCTAACATTGATATGACGTAACGGCACAAGTCGAATGTGCATAACTAAAGTTTAATTTGAAATTACGTCATTATGATATAATTTAACAACGATTAGCTTTCTTTGTGCGCGGAACTCGTGTCCGACTGCAAAAGCATCCTACATTGGATAAACGGCATAAAAACGTCCAATAACAAAATCGGCTTTTGCACGATTGATACTTGCTACCGTTACCTTGCCAAGTTGTTCTGGTTGCCACAAATCATCCCTACTAACGTCAAAGACTTTCCAGTCGATGCAAATGGAATGCACTAATATGTTTTGCTTAAACGGCGTTTTCAGCTTCAATACAGCTATGTCCATATCATAGTAGTAGTTAATTCGCAGCTCGAATATATATTCGTCCACGTCGATACTCTCCACTAACGACTTCTGACTGTACTGCTCGTCGGCATCCCAGGCACGATAACGTTTGCCGGCTGCCACAACGTAACTCGATGCGTCTTTAATCTTTCTTGTTGTCTGGTCAAAGAAGCAATGGACCGCTGTGAAAGCAGCGAAGAAAAGGAGAAAGATTAAAAACGGAGTAAAGAAGAATTTTGTCTGCTCAATAACTCACCTGAGACGACGAGATTGCTGCGGATGAGAGTACCACCGCATATTTGAGTGTATGTCATGTTTTCTTCTTTAAAGTAGATAAGGATGTGCCAAGGGAACATCACCGACTTAACCTCGACTCCATTTACGATTAGCTTTTCGTCATGTCTCGTGTATTTGCCGCATTTTAGTTTAGAGGAATGATTACTAGCTTGTGCGAACGCTAAAAATATCAATTTTTGCGCATATATGCTATCAATTAGTCTGTGAACGTCGCTTTATCGTATGTATGAATGGAAAAACTTTAGCACGATTCATGTAGTGAGAAAATTTTAATTTTAATAAGGTAATTAAGTATATGGCCAAAGTATCTGAATGTTTTGGTTTGGAATTGAAAAGAAAACATTAATACTATATGAAAAAAATTCCGTTAAAATGATAAAGAAATTCTCTGGTTGAAAATATAATTATAATTTATTTGTTTTATTCGTATAAATTTAGGTGATTGTTTCTCCCAGGAACCCATGCAACCCAAATCGTCTAGTTAACTTAATCAAGATTCTGGATAGTTCATAATGCACTAAATAATCTGATTAATATATTTATATTTTTTTATATCCTGAGTAATTTTAAATCAATTAATTTATTTTCATATTCTAAATAACGCAATCAATTCTTTTATATGTGCGCCTCAAATTTCAAAAAAATGTATATACTTCTATTTTATTTTAAACGCAGATAAATGAAGAAAAGATCAACATGAGTGACGTGAATTTGACATATCGGATACATGTTATCGTATATTAAATAATAATAATAATAATAACCAACTACTCACATGACGGTAGTAAAACGAGCAACGACAAGACTGCCGACAATGCTGCGCTCATGTTCATATCTGCACACTCTTCCGTTAAGCGATTTTCATTCTCGAAGTCAGTCAACGCAAAACTGCCGCGGATGCGGTATTGAGGCTCGATCAACACCTTCGTATAGAAGGTCGCCTTGCATATATTACGGTGAATCACGAGTAATTGGTCAGCAGCGGCCATAATTGGTGCCTACGCCAGAGGAGAACTAATGAAAACAATACTACTAGATCGAGAGATAATATTTTCCTCATTCGAATGACGTTTTTCGATTCAAATGCATCAACTACACAGACCGTTATATTATAACTCGTTATAACATTCCGTACAAGATTTGATATAATACCTAAGTCATTAACATTCAATGAGATTATTACACGGAGAAAAATGTTTGATTGTATCAAACAATTTCCTAATGAAATGCGAACGACAACGAAGTTCCGATTGAAATTATCAGATTGCAGTATAAATTACCAAGATTTCTAGCTAATTTAAACAAAATCTTGGTTTTTCAAGTCGAAACTGAATCGTTCATGTTTCAGCAGAAAACTAATTCCATCAATCAAACATTTTCCTAATTATACAAATTCCTTTCTAAACGTTAATATTAGGTGGTAAACTTAATTCTTACCGCTTTTCGTCTCCAAAATTGATTTGTTTCGAAGGGAAGATGAATGAACCTTAAGCAAAGTAATTTCCTCCATTTTCTACTATTTTTCCCATTTTTCCGGCAACAGGGCAATCCCTTGACTGTAGAACGCGGTGTCTTTTGAGACGATCCATTTATCCACCTATTTTTGGACTTTATCGTAACTGGAGAAGTGTATATCCGTAAGTGCGTGTTGCATCGACCGGAAGAGATGGTAATCCAACAGTGCCAAGCCTGGAGAATATGCTGGATGCGGGAAAACTTTCCATTCAAGATCTGGAAGTGTCTGCTCACGCATTTTGCAACATACGGTCGAGCGTTATGATGCAAGAGACTTTGCATCGATTGTTGGCTACGGATGGTCTTTTCTGCATTAACTCGTCACTCATTCGGCATAATTGCTGTTGGTAGCGATCAACTGCAACAGTTTCATTTGGATGTAAGAGCTCATAATACAGAATATCCTCCTAGTCTTATCAAATACAAAGCAAACTCTTATGCCCGTAAGTATTCCTCTTCGGCGTTCAAATGGCTGGTTGAAACTAACCACGGGTTTTATACCGAATTGAAACCGTAAGTTTCAGCATGGAAGGTCAATTAGAATATCTCAAGATGATCTACCGCAGATTAATTTTACAACAGCGACCAAAATTGATGTCGACGCTATAAAAATAACTTAAAGGTATGTAGATAACAGAATGATAATAATCATATTCGGAGAAAAAGAGAAAGTCGTGGGAGAGAAAGAAAGAGGGAGAAGGAAAGAAAGAGAGAAAGAGAGAAGGAGCGTACCAGCAGCGAGCGGCAAATATGTAAAGTTTGATTTTATGCTTTCGTTTGATAGCACCTGACCCTGAAAATACAACTACTATGGAATATTAAAGTGCGGTAAAAGCCACTGCTGTATTGATTTCTCAACGAGAGAAATATCATCCGGGTGCACAAAGTGTCAGGTTTGACATTATATGTTGTACAGAGTGATTATTAGGAGGAGGCTTGTGTTGAAGGTAAACGGTTATATTTCCCCTCCATGACTTCGACGGCCATTTTACTTACTAGAATCTGATACCTGAAATTCATCAGTTTCATTTGAACCGCTGTACAAGTCAGTTTACAAGTGAACGCGTTAAACATCGAAGAAAAAGTGTTTGTTCTTATCGAGTGTTTCTAGAGGGGAAGCAGGAAAATGCGAGGCACATCGTATATTTCGTAATAAATATGGTTCTAAAAAAAATTCAAGCAAGCTATTTTCAAATAGAATCGCGCTCTAATTTAACACTAATCTACCATAAACTACCTTGCCTATCCATTATGCCGTTAATCAGAGATTTTATTTATTGCTCAATATCTTTTCGCAGGATTATTGATAATTTTATTATATATGGCACTCTAAATGATCGCAGACATGATTTACACTGTCCACCCCGAACCATTACAACGGACGAAACAATTGATGATGTCAAAGCATATTTTGAAGAAAATCCATGTTCCTCGATTCAGAAATCTGCTCAAATTGTAAATTTGAAGCGAGAAATTTTTTGAAAGATCGTGTAAGATATCAAACTCCATCCCTATAAAATCGTGATATATCAGTTGCTGACAAAGAAACCGATGGAGGAACGAGTTCAATTTTGATAACCGGTATGTTTGAAAATGAGGACCTCAATAAAAAAGAAATTATTTTTACGGATAAAGCTCGTTTTTGGTTAAACGATTACGTCAACAAGCAAAATTATTGGTTTTGGGGAAAAGAAAATTCCATTTTTGCACCCTACTGTATACTTCAAATCAGAGAAATAAATTCAAATCAGAGAAATTTAATTTTCTCGACCACGCCCGATCTTAATGACATGAAAACTTCAATAATCATCTGCATGAAGTAGCGAGCGCCGAAATATCTAACACAAATATTATGCAGAATAACCAAAAAATATCGGAAAACTGAAAGACAACACTCGAAAATATACTCTGAACATTTCTATAGCTATGTTTACAACATATTTCAGAGCTTTCGAAAACGGTTGCAGTTCTGTGCACATTTCGATGAACAACATTTTGAAAATATCTACCATTAGTTTATATGCGCGAACAAATTATTGTCCTTTTTTTATAACATGTATTTATGTTATTAAAATATTATTTTCTTTCTCTCATATGTATGGTGATAAACTTGACGACTTTCTTCTACAAAATAACGATAGATTTATTTTGTTCGCCTTACTTGTTGCGAGGTAATTTACCATTTACGTACTTCCATATAATCTTAATAGTCATCCTGTACAAAATTTTCTGTATACGGAAGTTTATGAAAATCGCAGGCGACCGTTGAGCAATGACTAAGTGATTCAAAACAGGAAGAATATAATTTAGTTTAATGATTTATTGAATTTGTAATACAAAAGCGACATAAGTCGTGATTCTTGGATTTCCCATTTCTGTTTGTCAGTCAATGTGCACCGAAGTTACTGGAGTATTTTGCAAAATGAATACAAAATTTAGGATAATTGTCAATATTTAGGATTTTGTCGCTCTTATTACGTTGCTCATACGTAACGTTCATTCATCTCGTGTCATTGCCGGCTCGATGATGTATACAACATATTTCGCAATTCGTATATCGTACAACCCATTTCCCTGTAGATGTTTACATTTTAACGTAAAAATTATGAATCCATTCAAGATAGACACTGATCCGGGTAAATGCAACGTAAGAGTTGAAATCGCAATGGTCATCCTTCTGGGGAGACGTGCTGATGACACCACGAAGATACCAAATATCATTTTTCTTAAAACTTAAGCCGCCACCGCTGTCTCCATCGCAGGCGCTTGAACCTGAAAACCATGCGGAGAATAATGCATTGAAGTTTTGGAGCCTGGAAGAACTTTCAATCCATTTACATGAACTAAGAATACTAACAATGAAAATGTGAATTTTCTTCTGTTATCTTAACTCAACCAATATTGACATCACGTGTTATCTACTGTAGCATATAAATACATATTAACTTGTTCCCTAATTACGTCATTATCCATTTATAAATTGACTAATTCTCAATCAAGTACAATGATTTCGTGTCAATTTCGCGAAAGTTCAAACACGACACAACAAATACAAGTTAATCTCGCACAATTATTTACGCACATAGATACTCACCATTCATAAAGCCGGCGCAGAACTTATCGAACGTGATGAATCCGCGAAATTCTAAAGGTACGTTATCCCGACATTTCTGTCGCTCCACGTACGGCATATTAACTTCGAATAATTCCTCTGTGGGCTTAAGAGTGGTATCTTTACCCCAGCCGACCAGCTGAAATCACCGAGCGAACGCACTGTTGTTTTATTCTCTCTTTTGATCTTACATTTGATTTCGATTCTCCTGTCTCTGAAGATGACGACGGAATATTTGTCATGTAAAAATCTGGATGACTGATCTGTTCAATTGTAAATTTACTCTTATAATTCGCGCGCAGACGCACGATGAAGTAACATTGACACAACGACTCGCAACGATATATAACTAAAAAACATATTGAGAAACGTGTCTTCTTGATGCTTTTGACAATTTTTTGATAACTTTCTGAATGTTACGTATACGTGCCTCCATTACGAAATATCTGCTATTTGATTAAACTGCATGAAGGCGTTTAAAGTTCGCCATTGATGTTTTCGCTCAAGCTCAAGTTACAGTCATAAACTCACAATCATGTTTGAGATCCTTTTAAATTTAATTTTTATCCTTTTATGATGAAAAATGCGACGAGACGTTCGTTGTTTCCCATAAATCAGATAATCTGTATATTTGAATACAACTTTACCAACTTTAGATTTGTGAACACGAACTTGTAAACTTATGATTCCGACATGCTGCATAATTAGGTAACATTGATACAACAGCACGCATCGACATGTATAAAGTTACATTCATAAACACATCATTATAATATATTCTGCGATTACCTTCCAATTGATTGCGCCGCACTCACGCTAGATTACAAAACATCTTCATTCTAACTGAGTTATGTGAAGATATCCAACCAATAGACTTTCTTGCGATTTATATACCATTTATACTCGTTTATCTACCTTTCCTAATTGTCCCTCTTCCAGCTGCTCTTTGTCGTATATATTTTGCCAATCCACACAGATGGGTGACACATACATGTTAAAATCTAAAGACGTCTGTAGTTTCACCAAAGCTATATCCTCGGCAAGGTTACCTCTCGTTCCAAAGTAGTCGGAGCGCAATTTTACATACTCCACCAACGACTTCTGGCTGTACTTCTCCTGGGCATCCCAAGAACGATAGTATTTGCCAGCAGCCACAGCGTAATTCGACGCGTTGTAAGGTTTATTTTCAACCTCGTCATAGAAACAATGTGCAGCTGCGGGTGGAAAGAGAAAACGAGACTTGTATAAAGGATCGATGAGAAGAAAATAGATTTGTCTGTTCGTTGACTTACCTGAGACGACGAGATTCTTGCTTATCAGACTGCCACCGCATATATTCTTGTACGTTTTGGCGCTATCTTTTACGTAGATACCAACATGCCACGGAAACGAGCCTAATGTGGACTTAATGCCGTTGCCAACTACAATTAGTGGATTGTTTTGCGGGATGATTATGCCACACACTATTTGTGCACAACAACGTTATTAGTATTAAAACATAAACGAAAACCGCGATAACGATTACATAAGCCATCACAGATGAATAGTGAGACGGAAATGTCTCAAAAACATAATTATGTATATGATACCGACTATTCGCCAGCTACAGCAAACATATTCAACAACTATGAAACGAGGAAAGTTCGAACAGTTATTAAGTCTCTTGGCATAATTTTAACTGTGACATAACAAACGAGAAAATGACAAAATTATAAATTCTTGCGCACCGTTTTAAATAAAAATATATTTGTATGAAAGAATGCTTCAGACTGCTAGAATATACTTATAAAATGCTTTGAAAGTCAGTCGACTGAGCTAAAATCAGTGTGATATGAAGTTTTATCACGCATCCATATATACGTATATTGTAGTCATTTTGTACTTGTACATAAACTATGAAGAAGACAGGATAATTTTCGGTGTGTTTTATAAATACCCACGTGATTCAACATATTCTTTCATATAAATATTAATAGAAACATCTCATATAAAAATATCGTATTTTGGAAGTAGTAGGAAAGAATTTTCAGCGTGCCATTTTTCTTTCGTCTGTGTTACGATCCAAGATGGCTGTTAGGTATGCTGAGAAATTTTAACGGGCACAGTCATACGAAAAGTTTCAGTTTAGAGTAACACTTTTTTGTACTTTTAGCGAAAATCGTTCAATTTGTCGAGACATTTCTGTTCACGTCTCATATCTAATGAATAAAAAGTGGACATGTCACTTTCACCTAATTCACAATGAAACATGGCGTGATCCCACACTCCACTGTCGAGACACACCATTGACAAGTTATCCAGACTGATTAAAGGTAATCTATAAAATGGTTTACAGGTCAACGTGGCTTGTGTCCCAGGTAGTATAGGCTCGCTACAAGACACCTCTTCTCCTCTGTAGTTGCAGGAAATGTCTACGCTGGTGCTGTTCAACGGCGGGCAAATTTCTGCGAAGATAAACATCGGATGAGATAAGCCATTAATTTTACCATCCGTCGTCTGAATAAAGAAAACGTCGCTCTTTTGTAAAAATATTAATTTTAATAATTATACGTTAATATATTCTTAATAATTAACTCGTATCGAAAGACGTTTTACAGCCATTTGTTGCGAATACTTATTGTCAAGAGAAACTCACTGAGACAGGAGACCTGATGTTCCCATGTTTTGTAGACACAAATGGTAGTACTGCTACTGTCCAACGTGTAGTCTTCATTACAAGTATAAGTGAGAATACTATATTGCGGGACTATATCGCCAGGCTGTTTGCGGCATAGCTCATCGCATCCTTCCAACTTATAACGTCCACCTGTCGGCTGCTCAGGTAATGCACAACCGTTTTCTTGATCTCCTTCCCTAAATTTCCGCGAGTGCATGCGTAAAAATTATCGATTCGAGTATAGTAATCAGTAGGAAATAAAAATATTATTAGATCTAGTATTAGATCTAGTATTAGTAGACCTAGTATCAGTAGGAAATAAGAATATTATTAAATCTAGTATTAGTAGACCTAACATGAAGAGTGTAAAATCCTATTGATGATTAGTCATTAGTGGTTTTATATGGAAATTGTGTGTGTATATATGTAATTGTGTGTATAGGAAATTGTGGCAAGGAAGTATTTAACCTACGTAATACAGAATGCCTCATCGCTGGAGTCGCTACAATCAGCTTTATTATCGCATTTGACACTAGGCGGTACGCACTCGTTGCTTCCACAGCGGAACTCATCGTCTCTGTTTAAATATGATAATTAAATGTTTTTATTGGATACACTTAGGCATTCTGAATTCTCTTTTATTGTTAAAAATGACTATAAAAGTGGCTTATAAGCCTCCTAATTGGTTATAAGCCACTTTAGAGTCCCTTTTAGTAATGAAAGAGAGTTCAGAATATGGATCTTAATTTCCTTTCCATCCAGCATCAACAACAAGACAGATCCATCCGTTGTATGTTATTAAATAAAAAATTATAATGCATCATCTGTAGCCTAAAACAATCGTACATACCTACACTGTCCACGATCCTGCTGCGTTTTGTGTATTCCTGGTATACCATCATTAACGTCACTAGGATCTGTATTTAAAAAAATAAATTTATAAATAGGTCGTTAATTATTTTGGCTAGTACTGTAACTGAACTTACAGGACTGAAATGGTGTTTCTGTTTTGTTCCTATTTTCGGATAGTTTCGTCATGTTTATATCATAGGAGACCACGTTAGGAGAGATAATATTGAGATTTTGTTTGTTAAGATTCTCGCTGTTATTATTAAACCCGTTAGGATTGTTTCCAATCTGGAGGACTACATTAAGGGAGACAGTGTTGAGATTTTGTCCATTAAGGTACCCTCCATTATTACTAGTCCCGTTAGGATAACCTTCGTTAGGGTAGCCTTCCTTGAGAGGGACCACGTTAGGAGTGGCGGTGTTGAGATTTTGTGCGTTAAGATGCCCTCTATTACCGTTATTAGGATAATTCTTATCATGATAGCCTCCATTTGGGAACATTATATTGAAATTGATGTTGAATATGTTAAGAGACTCTCCAGTAGCACTGGCCTCTTCAGAGTAATCGCTATTAGAGTATTCATTGGTAGGAAAGTACCCGTTAGGATTATCCCTGTTAAGGAAGCACCAATTAGGATAGTTTTCCTTAGTAGAATCTCTGTTAAGACAACTGATCTTTATTGCCAGTTTGATAATCCAGTTTGTATTGCCCACTAAGGGCTTATTTACAATTGTGGATGCCGGAGTCATAGGTTCCATGTTCACGGATTTCAAATTCAGAGACGACGGAATCATAAATGCTGCATTACTGCCTGTTCCAAACTGGCTAATATTGCTTTGTCCATTATTGAACCATAATTGATTATTATTTTGTGCAGACGCTGAAAATATGAATTTTGGCATTTTTCATTTTAGAGTATTATGTTAGGAAAGACAACGCTAAACATCGCTAAAACATCGTATGCATTACCAATGGTTAGCCTTTTGCATGGATGCTACCAATTAATCCTCACAAATTATTCTATTATAATTAGAAAGACTTTTATATAAATACATAATTATAACATAATCAGGGAGATTTTTAATACGTATATTATTATTGATCAAGGTCTTTTCTACATTAAGTCAAATAAATACCGGGAATTATTCAATAAAACGCAAAATATTGGTTTAATTATCCAAATTTATTTTGTCACCTTGAAAATAGACTCCATTTGATGCAATACACTTATGCCAACGAATAATCTAGTCGTCGAAATACTTCTTATAGACACTTTCCGGTATGGCCTTCAGCTTCTTCTGTGTATTTTGTTTGTTGTGGCTTCAGTGGGCTCAAAATGTCTTCCACGAAGTGGTAATTTGAATTTGGGGAACAGGAAAAAGTCTCACAGGGCCATATCTGGCGAATAGGGTTTGGTCGATAACATTCCTTGAATTTTTGGTCAAAAATTTGCGTACTAGTGTCGATATGTAGGACGATATTATCGTGGTGCAAAATCCAAGAATTGTTCTTCCATAAATCTGGCCATTTCCGGATTCGTGAGACATGTCCAAATCCTGAGTCATCTCTCGTAATCTCGCTTAAATAACGAATTTCCATTACCAATTTCTTTACTTTGTCGATGTTTTGATCAGTCGAGGACGTTGGAGGTTGACCGGAACGAGGCAAGTCTTGAACTAATTCGCGGCCTTCTTTGAATGCTTTGTATCACTCATATGTTCGTGTTTTTAATAAAACTGACTTACCGTAGGCCTTCTTCAACATTTTCAACTATTCAGCACAAGAAATTTCATTGACAACAAAAACAACAAAACTCTGAGGCAAACTCTTTGTTCGATATTTTTATTCATTTTAAAAATCGCAGAGCACACTTACTGTTAATTAATAAAACCAACAGCTGTAAACAAACTAGTTGACAAATCGCGCCAAAACTCTACGTGACAATTAAGTACATTGATACCAACTTACAGCAGAACATTTTCTTTCGTACCTTTTACGTGGGCTTTTTAAATGAGCAATTCCCGGTATTTATTTGATAGAATGTATTTACTTTCAACTCACTGTTCACATATTTTGTTATTTATTCAAATCTGTCATTAAATGTTTTTCCGTTAGATAAACGATGTGTTCCGTTTATTTAACAAAGAAAAAGAAAGTAAGAAAAAAAGAACATCATCAGTAATCCAATCATATTATATTGGAGTGACAATCATAGAAAAAGAAATACGCGCAAGAGCCAGAATAAATTTAACAAAGTTTTATAATCGGATTTATGTATGCACTGTATCTGCAAAATTCCACTGATTCTTCCTAACATGCGATATAAACTTCATCCTTTCTAGAAAATTCCTCATTTGCATCTTGTAAATATTCAATCAACATCTAATGTATTTATATCGCATAAGAAAAAAACATTGATAAGTTAAACGTTGAAGTAACTGAATAAAATATTGAGATATATAATATCAGCTATATATCTGTCGCCTAGCTAATACTGTCGCCAATTAACCAATCTGAATCGAGAAATAAAAGAGAAACGTCCGATTTTGTCAAATCGCAAGGGAGTCGTCTTTCATCACGACAACGCCAGACTACACGTTTCGAAAAAGACGCTGCGCAAACTGAAGAGCCTGAAATGGGATGTCTTAACGCGTATTCTCCTGATATCGCACCATCTGACTATCACTTGCTCCGGTCATTGCAAAATTATTTAAATGGAAAAAACTTTGACTCTTTGGAAGCCTTAAAAAACGGCGTCTCTTCGTTCTTCGAATCTAAACCGCACAGTTTTTATGATCGAGGCATCCGTATGCTGCCAGAACGTTGGGAAAAGATTATAGAAAACGATGGAGAATATATCATTGATTGAATAAAGATTTTTGTTTGCCTAATCACTGTGTGACTTTTACTCACAAACTCCGCACGAACTTTTGCACTCACCCAATACATTGATATGTATTGATCCTCAACCCAGAAATTTGCACGCAAATAAGTAGCCTAATAATTTTGCCAAATTTCACTAAGTAGATCAAGTTTAAGTTAGTTGTAAATTTAATTAAAAGCTTAATTAGAAATATAACAATTTGGCTATTAGAGACAAAATTTGTTTAAGGAAATATACGACTTTATTATTTGTTGAAATTAATGCACGGTTGATTAAGAAAACAGCAATTATTATTAAGTACTTTATATGTGTGACTTCTGAGTCTTCGCTTCTACAACAAATTATTCTTACAGATCTTATCAAATCCTCTCCTGCTCACGTATATAAGTAATACGCAATGTCTATTAATATGAGTAGCACACAAGTTATGTATAACTGGCGAAGCAAAGATCCCATGTTCGAATCAAGGAAAACGAGTTTTTTAAGAACAATGTAACATCAATCAATCAAATGATTAATTTCATGTAAAAATCACCATGCGCTAACACGAAATATGCACTAACTTACGAAACAAATTCAGTTAAAAATGTAAGAAAATTTATCGTTAAAATTATGAATACAACTTGATTTGTGCAACCAAATCTATGCAACCAATTACCTTATCGTAACCATGTAATCCAATTTACCTGGTTATCTTAACTGAATCGCGTATGATCAATTTTGTTTAGTATCCTCAATTTTCTATTCTATATTCTACTATAAGAATTATAATATCGATTATAATGTCATATATGTTATAATATATACAATCTATTATAATATCTTTATATAATCATATAAATCCACATTTTATTATAAAAATCATTAAAAAGTTCTATATTTTATAAGAATTATTATATTATAATCATATTTTACATTAAAACGATAAGAACTGTTAATGTTAAGAATTCTATATATTTTTATTTTACTGAATAATCTGATTAATATATCTGTACATCTGATTAATATAGCAAATTTTTCCATGTGCACTTGAAAATTTTCATACATCCTATTTTGATTTTAAATGCAAACAAATAAGGAAGTAGCTGAATGACGTTACTTGGACGCATCGGAATATCGCATTATGGAATTATAAATAAAATTAATGCTATTAAGAAACACATTCCTCGGTACATTATTTTTAATGTCATTACTTGAAAGACGACACAACCGATTGTTCGCGACACGGAAACACGTCAAATCACGGTGTGATTAAATTCTATAACCATGTCAAATTTTAGCATTCTACCGGCGGTTTTTCACACGAATTCAATCTACGAAGCGTGACCTATCAGGAAAATGAGCAAAGGCATAGACTGAAAAACGTTATATAAAATACTCACAGAATGGCAAGGTCAGCAACAACGAAACTATCGTTATTGTTAATACTGTCAATACAGCATATGCGTTCATAATTATAGAAACGCCTATAGGAAAATACCTACTTCCCAGTCAACGAGAAACTGAACGCGAGTCTCACACCAAGGTCTAACTTTATACGTGGAAGATTAACCGGTTTATCTTGCGATGATTCAGCACCAATTAACTTGGCATGTTGATTCCGGAAAAAAAAGAAAACTTGAATGGAACTTGAATGATATTACAAATTTGATAATGGCCATTCGTAGAAAAATTCATGACCAACGTCGAAATGTAATAAATAATGTTACGATAATAAAAATTACGAACACCTGTGATTACGAAATGTTGCGTGATTATTGTATAACCTTGAAGATGAAATTTCAGTGTTTCAGTGTTGACAATGTTAAATGTGTGGATCACGTTTGAATCACGATGGAAACACATTTTTAAAATTTATATCAAAGCTTTCGATAAAGCTAATATCGAGCGTCTCAGCATACTTTTATAATTTTATTTTTCTTCATGTATATTGAGAGAGTCCGAAAATTCAAAGCATCCTCGCGGCATAAAGATAGAATGAGTCAAGTTGAACAAAAAATTCCTGTAGCATTTTTCAAACAATCAGTTAAATTTTGAGATATTAATGAAAATGGATAGACTAATCAACATGCATAATGCTATGGAACGAGTTCTGCAGCCACGATATCATTGAATATTGCTTCGTCTTGTTGATTGTTTATTGGCGATACTTAATGAATATCATTTGGCAATAAAAGAATAGGAAAGCAGTACGTAAGGCATGACCGCGTACTTATTTACATTTGATCGCAACTGACATTGAAAATGTACAACATGAACGAATAAAATATTTATATAGCAAATATGATGATTTGTCGACGAAAGAATTATCATTTTTAAGAAAATATAATGTCGTCATCACTTGATACATAAAGTAGTCTGCCCATCAGAAAAAATTCGGAGTCGACGAATGAGTAGTGACACAGGAATTAAGGAGAAAAGTATATCATACAGATTAACTATTTATTTAATCTGCAATTTAAAGACGAGAACACACAATAGCGAAAATATTTATATCCTCATTTCTCCACTTCAAACGATATTGCCGATATATCATGTGTGCGTTTGTGTATATGTATATTAGAATTGTAACGAATATTCGCTTTCGCTTTCGCTATCACGAAATACTAATTCGCTAATTATGCGAAAATTTTAGCGAAAGATTTTGTCCAACCCGCGGGATTCGCAGCTTTGCTGGGGACACACTAGGTGGCGGAGGAGTGCAGTTTATGTTTCATTCATTGATTTGCCGGTTAGAGACACTTTAGACTTTAGAGCTTAAACATGTTTATTGAAAATAAATGAGTGCAAGTAAACTTCTGTGTGATATAAATTATAATAGTTAAATAACTAAGTGTAATAAATGATAAGTGATAACAATAACGATAAAACCAAAATGCATTTTTATTTAATAGTTTGATTTCTCCCGCACGTCGGCTCACTATAGCGAGGTCCTATCGCGTAATAGCCGTATCACACTAGCAACTCGCGACTGCAGTTGCGGCTACGATTGCGATTGCGACTCTTCCTCGACCAATCAAAAAGCAGCGACTCGCGGCTGCAACTCGCGACTATCGTTTGGACGGCTGTCCATTTTTCGAGTCGCAGTCGCAACCAATCACAGAACTCCGTATAATCACGCGACCCGTTCGTCATAATCACATTTATTTAATAGTATGTAGAAGTCGGTGATCATTAGGATAAGGTTATATCTAGTGTTGTTTTATGTGTTACATATTTTTTTTTAAATGTCGAAACAATTTAATAAAGAGATAGCCTATTATTAAGTAGATCTCGTAGAATGTAAACCCCTTCTCTGGGATTGTACGTGTGACAGTATTTAGCCACAGCCGCGATCGTCAATCGCAAGTGTGATTGAAAAACAAGAAATCGCAATCGCAATCGCAGTTGCAGTCGCAGCCGCGAGTCGCTAGTGTGATACGGTCTTTAGTCGGTTTCATTGAACTACAGAACAAACTGGAAGGAATACTGCCTGTATTTTCGCCGTATGACCTTGAACTGAGAGAGATAGTATCCAAATTGAATCTCCGTCTTTGTCTGTCATATATTAGGTGAACTAAAAGTTTAAGCTTACAAAAAATGCAGTAAAGTGTATATAGAACAGATACGAGGTGCGTTAAATGTAATAGAAGAGTTTTATAGATGCTAAATATTATGTATAAAATGTTTATATATATTGTTATAGAATGTTATTGATATACAATAGAATGTTATTGAAATAGAATGTTATTGAAAGTATTATTTCATAAAAAAGATTGACAAAATAAAATATTATCTTATTTCGCTTTATGATTATTATTTTCATAAACAATATATTTTTATAATTATATTATAATAATATAATTATATTATAATATTATATTATATTATAATATAATATTTTTATAAAAAGATTTTAATTCTATATTTATTATTGAAGAATAATTGCCCTGATTAAAGTATGACTAAAGATAGTACATACAAAATTTCGTTTCTCTTACCACTTGAAAAGATTTTATAACATTTTCAGACCCATATTATATACTGTGAAAACTTAGAAGAAATAGACTATAGTGCGTTAGTAAGACAGAGCGATATTCAACTTGGTCATGGGCTTTGTCTGGCGTGTTGATTCGACACGTATAAACGCAATGCTCGTTCCAGTTAGTTCTATAGTTCAATCGGCTTAGTGGCCGATTCGACAGCGTTCGGCGATCTTCGGCTACAATGCGTATGCGCACTTATAAGAGGAAGATTATTCTTCCGCAT